AACAAAACAAAACAAAACAAATGCCGGTACAAGCAGAAAGCTGTATATACAAAACCCCTACCATACAATGTACATACACTACATTCATTCACGGCTCACGCAATAAAGAACGAACGAATCAAAACCTCACGGGAAGCAATAGCTGACGAGTTCCAACATGGGCTCGTTGCCACAAATCTGATAAGGAAATGGATACCTTACAAAGCTCTTCCGAAACAACTAAAAATATGAAAAAGAATAAAAGAAGAAAAATGCACCTTCAGGCTACAATGGCCACCATCTGGAGAGAATATGAAAAAAAGAACGACACGAATGAGTAAAATACTTCAATTGTTTCCTTTCACGATCTTCCTCTCGCCAGGGCACTCTCACGTTGGTTCCGAAAGTGGCTAAGAAGCTGCTGAGCCTGGTTCGAACAATTGGGAATATCATAACAAAACTTCATTTATTTTTGTCATTTTTTTTCAAAGCTATAGATGACAAGGAAAGAATTTGTGCAGTGCTAGCACGAAAAGAGCAGTACTGATTATAAGATGTACGTAAGAAAATACAGCTGAAGCCACAGAAGACGATGATCAAGATGATTTTAATTTATTACAGCACCAAATAAGATTCAGATATAGAATTTATATTCTAATATTAGATGAAGATTAAGGCAGCTTCAGACATGGATTGTAACTGAGCTGGTGCAAGCAAGGTAATAGTTGGTTGGCATCTAATTATTTTTATTATTTAATTTTTTAAATTGTACAAATATTTCCTTAAGTTTCAAACAATAAGAGAATTACTATGTGGCCAAATTACTATGACGGCCAAATTGACAAAACTTTTTTTTTTTCCAACTCCGCCTATGTTGTCTCAACAGAGACAACATAGCAGGTCCCATCCCAAGCCCTGGTAAAGGAGGAGAGTTATGATAGGCTTGGCGAGCCAACGTAAAACCTAGCCGTTCTATGGAGATGAAACACATGCTAAACCCGAGACTTTTTAAGATTTATCTAAGTTTTTTTTATAAATTTTATTGAAATACTAGGAAATCTCAAATCTAGAGGTGTGTGATTTGGTAGTATGATTTTTTATATGTAATTTGTATTAGAAATCAAGTCTGACAAATTACAAATCCAAAAGGCAATAAACACATTGAATATCTCATGACTTTATAAGACTTCTCAAAATCTCAAATATCTCTCATGACTTCTAAGACTTCAAAATTTCAAATGAATACCTCGAGAGTTCAAAAGTTTTTTAATTTTTCAACATGTCCAGTAAATTACACCAAGATTTTAGGCAATGTTTTAATAAATTGGCTGATAAGCTAGTTGATAGCTGATAGCTTACACCAAGATTTTAGGCAATGTTTTAGTAAATTGGCTGATAAGCTAGTTGATAGCTGATAGCTTATAAGTGAATTTCGAGTTGATAGCTTATGACTTATGGCCGAAAAGTTAGCTAATATGATAAAAGTTTTGATAAATTAGTTGATAAGCGAGACGGACTTATTTGAAAACTACCCAAAGAAGGTTATGAAATAAACTCGATTTTTTAAAAAAAAGTCCAACCTACCAAACCAAGCTTATTTGTATACGTAAAGCTTATAAGCTAATTAAATAAGTTATAAGTCAACTTATGGTTAAAATCCCAAATCAATACACCCCTTATCCTTTTCCTTCACATAACTTCTCTACAACAATATAAACAAAGTCAAAGCCACCACAATTTAAAACACACACACACACACACACAGTTCAAAGTAAAGCGTAGCAAAAAACACACTGACCTTCTCCTTGGCTCGCGGGGTTCCCGACTGAGACAGGGCGACGAGCGGCGGCACGGCCCCTTCCTGCAGCACGCTCCTGCAGTACCTCGCGCTCCCCATGCACATCTGCAGCAGCACTGACGCCGCGTTCTCCTTCCCCCTGTGGGACCCGCTCTCCACCACCTCCACAAGCGACCCCACCGCCCCTTCCTCCCTCGCCACCGCCGCGCACCCTTCCCCCACTGTCGTCAGGTTCGCCAGCAGTGCCACCGCCTTGTCCACCATCTCCCCCCTCGGCTCCACCACCATCCCCGCCAGGTGGCGCACCGCCCCCGCCTGAACGATCCTCGCCTTGTTCTCGTGGCATATCGACAGGTTGAAAAGCGCTGTAGCCGCGTCCTTCTTCCCCCGGATGCTCCCGTTCCCTAAAAGCTCGACCAGCGCCCGAACGGCCCCCGACCGCCCGATCTTCACTCGATACTCCTCGATACGCGAGATGCTAAAAAGGGCTGCCGCGGCATTCTCGCGGGCCACCGGGGTCCCGGTCGAGAGCACGTGGATGAGCGGGTCGAGGGCCCCTTGGCCCGCGATCCGGGCTTTGATGCTGTCGTTGATCGAGAGGTTAAGGAGGGCCGTGACGGCGTGCTCCTGCACTTCCCGGGCTTCGGATCGAAGGAGGGAGATGAGCGGGCCGATGGCCCGACACTCGTCAATGATGACCCGATTCTCCCGGTTGTGCCTTGCGAGGAGACGGAGCTCTCGGGCGCAAGCGGCTTGTGTGTCGGTCGAAGGGCTCTTGAGGCCCTCGACGAGCTTTTCGACGCGTGAGGCAGTGGTCAGCTCGTCATATGTCAACTCAGAAGGAGATGGCCCGAGAACTTGCCGACTGGATTTCGTATAGCCTGCACTATCCGGATTGCTCGGGAGCAGCCTCGAACTCTCGATCTCGGGTGATGGGGTATAGTCGATGCTGGAAACAGCGCTAGATGCCGACTCGCTGCGACTGTGCACGTATGAGTGCTCGGGAGAAGATTGGCAGCAGAATTTCTCAGTCTCGTTTTGGGGGCATGAATTTGTAATTTCATGGTTTTGGGGGATTCGCACGTTATTTTCGTTGCACCAGTTGACTATGAGGGCTTTAACGGTGTAGTTAGGGGTGAGATTCTGGTGGGAGAGCCTGTGGCCCGTTTGAGGGCACGTCTCGAGCCCATGGTCCAACCATTTCTGAACGGATGCCCGTTCGTAAGTCTGACCCGAGGCAATGATCACAGGATCTGACATCAGTTGTAGGGACAGAGGGCACCGGAAGTATGAGGGCACGGAAATGCCGTTCGGGGCTTTGAATATGTCGAGCTTAACTGCATGATCACGGAGGTGTGACATGAGGGTTAGGATTTGAGATATTCGGTCCAAATCTTGTTTCGTTTCGGTTTGTTGGGCTTTTTTATTCTCCTTCTCTACCGAAATGTACTCGTTCAGGAGTTCTTCACTCGATTTCAGGTTCAGAAACTCCATGATCTGCATGAGGTGCTCGCCGTCAGGGGGTTTTCCATCTTTCTCGCATTCAACGGCGTTTTCTATGAGTTTTGGTAGCTGGCCGAGCTTAAGTTTTTGACATTCTTGTGCACACAACTGGACGAAAAAATAAACTATATAAGATTATTCTCATGCTATTATGACATACAACCGAATGAAACAAAAACCATAAATACTAGAAACAAAACTGGCTATTGTAAATAATTAGCTTCAGCCAAAGATTCTGTTATGACGGTATTCTTACACGAGCATTGGATAGACTTGATGTCTTTTGCGACAACTCAAAATGTCCACATAGAGCGCAAGATAGTTTAACTGAACAAATCTGGATTTTCAGGACCAATGGCTTACTTTGCAGTACCTAAAGATATATACAAAAACAGAGTGAAGATAAACAAATTTCAGTTAATTTTTCAAGTACACTAATCATTGATCTTAATGTGGGAGAAAAAGAATTTACTCACACAAAGTATCTTGCTCATTCTTGGAGACCATTTCTCAAGAAATTCTCGAGCCTCGTTCACAGCTAAATCCAGCTGCTCGCATTCTTTGGAAAAAGCTTCATCGGAAGGAGTGTTGTGATCAACAAAATCATCGAGCAGCGGTTTCAAATGCTTCAACATGGAAATTACATTTATGTAATCTTTCTCAGCTGGCATCTTAGCTGACACACGACATGTTACCAGATGAATGAATCGAGATATGCTGTTTATAAGACATTTTAATGGTGTTAAGTCCATTGACCTGTTCGAACGAAATAAGAAAAGACAAAATTAGAACTTAATCGAGATAAGCTTTTTATAAGGCATTTTAATTGTGTTTAAGTCCATTGACCTGTTCGAACGAAATAGGAAAAGACAAAATTAGAACTTAAATGTGCAAGTTGAATTAGGCATTTCTCTGGTTTCAACTACAAAATATAATCAACCTACTATATAAGAAAACTAAAATCAATCGCTCCACATTTATTCTGACCTGCAGGCACAAATTTACTCTACTGCATAAACGAATGTCTCTCCTCTTCCTAAAGAATTAACCAACTTTACACATACAGCCCTGGAACATCAAGCAAGCTTTTCGATAAAATGTTGTTTAAAAGTGATTTTTCATCACTCAAGTAATACCATTGGAGCCTGATAGTAATTTTTACGTCCAGGCAACATTAAATATGCTAAAAACTACCAAAATTTTCGAGTCCTAAATCTTTAGCAAGGAACAAAAACGATAAAATAAATTGCAAATATCTGATCAATCGGAGTAAGGGACATACATAAGCCAAAAATTCAGCTTTACGCCTCCAAATAATTTATCATGTGCTAGTTACAATCTTGGTTAGAGTAGGAACTATTGCTGTCACACCCAAATGAAAGAAAAACTTGCACAAAAGCAAAACTTTTTTCATACCCAGATAAAGGCAAACTCGTGAAAAAAAGTCGAAAACAAACTCATTTCAAGAAATTGAAAGACTTGGACTCAAATCCTGGTAGAAATCCTATCAAAGCCCAGCAAAACCACTTCAGCTACCAAGATGATAAACCAACTCTTTTCAAGAACACCACAGAGAATAAAGAATAAAAAATTTCATGATTTCTCTGAACCCAAGATGACTAAACCCACCACACTATATTCTTAACTATGCAACATATTGTAATAAATTCTCAAAAGATACAAACTTTAATGTCTGCACACATTCAAAATCCTCCAAAACACATAATTCAGCTTAACAGCATAAAGTAAAATCTTGTAAATTCTGGGTTAAACAAAGCACAGCCCAACCAGAAAACAAAAGAAATGAGACGAAAAAACAGATCTTCGTGACAACCCATAACACAGCAAAATACACAAAACAAAATAAACAATTCAGAGCTTCAAGAAACAATACCCCATTTTCCTGATCTATCAAATCTTCAACAATTAGTGGCAAATAAAATCCCAAGAACAGTGCTCCCCTTTTGCGCCTCTTTCACCAGAGTCCCTGCAAACCCTCTTCATTTTGTGGAGAACAAAAAACAAGAGCTCGAAAAAAAACAAGAAAAGAGTGAAAATGAACCCAAAAAAAAAAATAATAATAATAATAATAATAATAATAGTTAATAATGTGAAGAATCTGTGGGGCCCTTTTGTAGCTGCAAATTTGTTGGTTGTGGGGAGAGAGATGTTAATGAGGGATGATTGTGAATTTGTTTGTCATTATTAAATAATTAAGAGAGGATGAGTGATCATATTATGATTAGATGGAACACATTGCAAAAAGATAATCTGCTTATATGCAGAGGAATGATGTTCAATGAAACCTTTTTCAGAAGAGAACTGCCTTGATTGTGTAAAATGACTAACTTGCCCTCTATTCTAAGATGAATTACCACATTGGCACCTATAATTTATTTTCAATTTTATTTCTCATAAAAATAATGTACTCCTAATTTATTAAAGATTGGTTGTGATTATTTAGAAAGAAAGGAAATTTCATTTCAATAATGTGATCTTACTTTTTTTTTTTTTCTTTTCAAAAGTAGTATGTCTTTTCCATAGGGTTGGTAGGGTAAGTGGAAAGTACTAACTAGTTTGATGAAGGGAATTGAATAAATTAATTAAATTTGGTTAATTTTTATGCCTTAATTGGAGTTAATTGAAATCTAAAGGTAAAATCACCTAAATCTTTTTTTTTATGGGTGACTTTTTTAAAAATCCCCAAGTCCCTTTTCAAATTCTTGTTCAGTCCCTCCTCTTTAAAATAAATCACAAAGAAATTGAAATGTGACATCATCCCACTATCTACTAATTTTGACACATTATTTTTTTATTTTTGTTTACCTAAAAGTAACTTTTTCCCCAATCTTCATCCCCACTCTCCTCTTCTCTTCTCCCATGTTTTTCTTCTTCATCTCGGCAACAGTTTTTTTTTTTTTTT